AGACGATGGGAAGAACTTTGCTGACCAAAGAATATTTCCTATATCTCCCATACCAAATGTGACATCAAGAAAGATGGCAAAATGGGTGGATCAGATGATCCATTTCCATGGAAAACAAAGGTTTTGGATTGATTGTCAAAATGCCAAACAATGGCAGCAAATTGGTTTTTTGAAGAAGAAAATGGAAATGAAGATGGAAAGTGTGAAATATACGTGCATTTATAGGGGGTGAAGGTGAAAAGATAGAATATGAACAACCATATTCGTGCCTAGTAAATGGAATTAAGTAGCCCAAAGTCTTGGGAAAAGAGGCAGAAATATCAAGAGAAAATGTGCAAAAATTTTAGCATAAAGCAGTTAAATGCTTGAGCGATTGACGATTAAAAGACAAATGTCAATAAATACACAAGAAGCTAAAATAGTTATTCATTAACGATGATGGCTGCTGTTATGATCAAAATTAGCAATGGATATCAGTACAAGGTTACAAAGGGAAAGTCAATACGAAATTACAAAAGGAAAAAGTTAAGGTATTATATGTCTTAATTACAATTCGCCCCATTCCAAACAAATTCTTTCCCTAAGTCTCCCCCAGTCCTCGCTCTGCCAAGAAGAAGTGATATTTAATTCAGCCACAACATCATCATCAACTTCCAGCTTCTTGTACTGCTCGACCAAAGGCTTGGTTCGCTCAATTCGTTGAGAGGCATTATGCTTTTTAGCAGCCATTCTCGCCTTACAGTCGTCCATCTTGGCTTGAAGCTCCTTCATCTGTGCAGCCAAACTAGTCATCAAAGAGTCTTCAATCATGATTTCGGAAGAGATTTCTTTCAATTCGTCCTCAGCTTTGTTGATCTCCAGAAGCAAGAACTCTCTTTCAGATACAGCGCGAAGATATTGAGTACTCTTAGCCTTCAGTTAAACATTTCTGGCCAGCAAGGAAAGAATCTCGGAATGGACAACTTTCAACGTCGCTTTAAAATCATCAGAAAGGTTGAGCGACGGAAGTGTTAGTGCTTGCTCCAACTTCGCACTCAAATGCTCAAGCTTATCCTTATACTTGGTAGCACTAGCCTTACCGATGTCCATATCCATGAAGGACACATACTCAAATATCGACTGCTTGAGGAACTTCATATCTTCCTCTGAAGAAGCAGAAGGACGACTGGCTGAAGCAGGGTGAGATGTCTTGACTTGCCCCCAGGAAGTAAACAAGTCTTGGATGGAACGCACAATTTTATCAGCATCCTACAAAGAAAGTTGCCAACATTGAAGGTTTTCACTACACTAAACAAAGTGGAAGTAAAGGTGAAGCAAATATTACCTCATCAGCAATCTTGGAAGGTGGCATATCCCCAGCCAAATCTACCACCTGTGGCTCCACCATTCGTGAGGACTTCCCCTTGTCTAAGCAAGAAGACCTTGCCGCAACGGGCAGACTCATGGGAGCATCTGTAGAACTCAAAAAGCAACAAATCAAAAACCAATAGCACAAGAAAAGGTAAAACATCAAAAAATGAATTACCTTCTGCTTCGACGTTTGGGGGGTCAACGCCTTGGGAAGAAGGTGACTCATCCATTGGTTGTGATGAAGATTTTGGGACTGAAGATTTCTCTTTAAGCGTAGTCCCTTCATCAGCTGGTTTGGACGAAGCAGCCTCAGCAGAGGATGATGGAGCAGGAGCTGCCAACACCAAAGCCTTCAAAGGAGAGGCTGAACTTTTCTGAGAAATCCAAATAAACCATCAGCACACAGAAAAGTTTCAAGTATGGAAATGTATGCTTGTGAGTAAACCAATTTAATTACCTTCCTCCTGACGATGAGAGGGGTGTCATCATCATCATCAGCATCATCCTCCAAAATGGGAGATGTTGAGGCTGGCCGTTTGCGGCTTGGGGCACTTTTAGCTGCAGTGGGCTTGGCAGGAAGAGAAGTCGATGGACGAGCAGACTGTTTAGCACGAGCAGGGGAAGAGGGACTCCTTATGGACACAGGAGTGACCAAAACAAGAGAGGTGGAAGAAATGTTTGGCTAGTCCAGTGAATGGAAAGCACGATTGGCATCAGTCGCAAACAATTTGCGCTTCATTGACGGCCAGAGTCGTTCAAAAAGGGGATGGATGACACGGCTAGGATTGAAGAGAGCTAATGAAAAGCTGCTCGTCAAAAGAATATTGCGGGCATCTATAGCTTCTGCCTCTGCCTTATTAATGGTGTGGAAGCGGTCTATCAAATTTCTTGAATAGTAAGGGGGAACGGGCCAAGTTTGGCCAAAACCAAGTTGGCGAGCAAAAAATTGGGAAGCATAAATTTCAACCCCAGCTTTGGCATTGGTCCCAGTCAAAATATCATGGAACAACTCCCTCTCGGTCAAAAATTGAATCCAAATGAACAGAGAGGCGCTCGTACTATCCAGAGTGGATGGAGGTTGCACATAATCTGGAGTCAAAAAGGGAGGAAAAGGAAAGAAGGAAGGGATTGAATCCAAAGTATAAAAGAATGAAAAAATGTCCCTTCTGGACATATTTATAGGAGTTAGGGGATCAATGGCTAACCCGTAGCAGCTAGCAGAAGGACTGGAAAAGGATAGAGTACCAAGCGATGGAAAATAGGCTCTCAACCACATTTGAGTGAACCAAAGAGGTCCACTGCCAGTGGGAGATGCACCATTCTTCAATTGGGATTGAAGAGAAGTCATGCCTCTATAGAGGGTAGCTAAAAAGAAAAAAACACAAATTTAGAGGCCTACCACGTGCCAATTCGTGCGCTATGGGTAAATAGCTCATGGAGGGCTTCATGCTTGGCATACACAAAATGTATTTACAAAACCAAATCTGAATAAAGGCCACATGCTCAGCATGGGAAGGCTCAGCGCTCGAGTGGTTATGATAGGTTTGCAGGCTTGAATAAAACTTGGTGAGTTTTCTATCAAACTTTGGGCCGACACCAGAAATCAAAATACCAGGGAAAATGGTATCGCCCAAAGGTGGTAGATTTACTAGGGCCCCAACATCCCTTAAGGTAATGGACGTGGGACCAAGAGGGAAAACAAAAGTATTATACTCAGAAGACCAAAAACTTAAAGCGATTGGAAAAAGTGCTGGGTCAAAAATAGGGAGTTGAAGAGAGATTTCTAATAAATCAGAAATCTTAGTACTATCAAAAATTGCCTTAGTAGGACCATGGTCCACAAGGCGAGCATGCCATCTATGGAAAACGACATCAAATTTAGGCCAAGTGCGAATACCTCTTTCGTGAAGCGGTCTCAGTGGCAAAGAATTCAGAAACGGAGGGCCTTGAGTACAAGGGAACAGCTGACCGATCGCCGCTTGTTCGATGGCCTCGACGTTGTTGAATGAAGGACCTAGATAGAACTCATTGAGTTCGACATTGGCTAGTGCAAGGAAGTTCGGAGTTATATATGGCCGAGTGAGGAGTTTCTGGAAGTCTTCAAAACTGAAGGAGTCACCAAATTGGGATTGTGAAGCAGCCATTAGGAATGAAATAGAGTTTGTCGAAGTTTGCTTAAGAAACGTAGCAGAGAAGCAAGAAGATGAACAGTAATATTGCGAGAGAGAAGCGCGAAACAATGAGGCGTGATTTAGTGGTGCAATGAAATGGCGTGTATTTGGGGGTTATAAGGGTTTGCAAACGTCGCACCTTTTCAGGCTATGGAAGAAAACAATGATTGAAATTCTTGGAAATTTCGAATGTTGCTGGGAAACACAAAATGAATATGGCAAAAATTAATAATTGGTATTAATTCTGCCATATTGGGGGGTAATTGTTGACACACAAAAAGTTCAGCCCAAATCGAATAGCCCAAGGAATGACCAATTGGAGGATCCCCAAATCAGATAGTCCAAAGAACGGCCCAATCAAGCAATTCAGGATAAAGGTCCAAATAGGAAAACCCATGAACGTGGTAATACCATCGTTCAAGCTTGCAAGTCGCCCAAGATTTGAGCGAATAGATTGCCATGCAGTCGTCCAGAGCTGTGACCCTGTTCTCGCCCAAACCTTCGAGTCGCCCAGGATCTTAGCAAACATAAGATGTTATGGTTATCCAAAAGTGCGGTTAATGAAGCAGTTATTGAGTAGCCCTATCACGTTCCACGATTCAAGGAATTCAATTGAAGACGGTTGAACGACAAAAAGTAATGACAACAGTTAGAGAAGGCAGTTCCATGACAAGTTGGCCACCATGAAGAAAGGGGGCAGTTATAGAGCGATCAAACAGTTTTTAAGCGGTTGATCATGAAGAGATCATCCAGGAAGTATAAAAGGAAGAAAAGATATAGAGCAAAGGACCCCGAATCAAACACTCTCAAACAGAGAATATGTAACTTTTAATTTCTTAGTTTAGATTTAAACACTTCTTTTCAGTAACTCGTGTGCTTGCGCCCCTTGGAGGCATTCTGTTTTATTTTCCAATTGTAAAGTCATCGCCAATAAAAACACCCATTTTTGGGACTTTGTCTCAAGAGGTTTGTCCCTTACACAATCGTCTGATCCCTTTTTAATTGTTAGCGACTAACCCGTGCGAAACAGAAAGTAATTCTTGCCTTGTGTTGAAAACAACTTACTTATTTTCAAATTTGATTAACAAAACAATTATTTATTTGAAAACTAACTCATAAGCAAACTTTTCTAGCTTAGCCAGTCATGCTCAAATACAGATGCCTCATTAATTGATTTTTCAACCAGTGTTTCCATTCAGGTATTCTTGCATAAGTTGCTGAATTATTTGCTTTTTCATGAAATTAGATTACTCGTTTTTCTGAAAATACAGTTGCATTTTCTTTGACTTTGATTACCTAATTTTGACATCATTTCTCACTTGGGATAATCAGTTTTTTAGCAACTATTTTTCTACCAAACTGTATAGATATCTCAAAACTGTTTGCTGAAAGTAGAAGTCAGGAATTTTCCTTTTATCAGACTACATTTGGTGTACTCCTAACAATTGAAGTTTAGCATATTAATGTCTACTCTGCTAGGGAGTATCAAGGCCTGCAAAAATGCAGCTTTGAAGTGTGATGAATTGAATTTTGAACAGTATAAATTGTTGGCTGGAGATCGCCTCACACCCGACTGCCAGCTACACATGCAAAACTGTCTTGAGAAGATCAAACTCTTGGAGCATTGACAATGGTGAATAATTCAATTCACGTATATGTTTGAGAAACCCTGCATAAGAAGGTTTGCACTCTATACTTACCATGATTTTGTTCCATGCTGTTTGTTGGTGACACTCTTTCTTATCCTTTGGTTGCATATACTATTTTGATTTATTTCACTCTTTCTTCCAACATTTTGGATTGCATTTACTTGTACTTATTTTTCACTTATAGTATGGATGATTGAATACTACTTGACACCATTAAAGAACAAAAAGAAGCTAAAATTTTGTTCATGAATTATCAAGTCCAGTAGAGTACTTTGTACCAAACATGCAGTTGGTACGCTTATTTTTTTCCTTTTTCTGTTCCACTTACCGTTGAAATTTTTGTCTTGTCAATAGTAATACAATGTTTTGGTTGGGTGCAGGGATTGAGTGAGTTGTGATTCACATGAACGCTCTATTATTTGATGAAGATTGATCAAATGTTTATGGTTCAGCCAGCTTTATATAAAGCCCTACCATTTCTATTATAAGCAACGATGAGTTAATTTGAATTCAGGAAATCAAATGACTTGCTTCTGCTAGTACACAGTGCCAATAATTTTTGTACAAACTACAACGAAAGGAAAAATAAGTAAAAGTGCCTGTTTTAGTGTCCAATTTTGTTGAATTACAATTGTTTTTTTCACTGCAGACCTGCTTTTCCATGTATGAATGGGACAAATAACTTCTACCTTGGTGATTAACTGTTTGTATGATCTTTATTTTACCTTAGGGATACAATTAGTTTAGTTTGCTGCATTGAACATAATTAAGCAACTCGGGACTTTTTATAATCCTAGCCCCTGTTTGGTAAAGATTTTAATCTGGATTTTTATCAAAACCAAAGTCAATAGTTAATTTTAATAACGTATTTTATAGGATCCACAACTTTTTAATTATACATTTTATTAATTTTTATTAAAATCTGCTAAGAATTTAATTTTAATATCAATCAAATAGGGCCTATGTATGGTTTATCGTTAACACCCTGTTGGAATTTGGAAACTACATTTCACCATCATTAGAGCCGATCGTGCTAGATGTACAGAATGAACCTTTACAGAACTTTCACAGAATGACGTGGCGGTTGACCAATGAAGGGTGCTGCTAAGTCTAGTTGACAGAGATTCTAAAGATGAGCTGGCAATTAATCTAAATTAAAAGCAAATATATTTCTACTATGTTTAAGCATAAAATAATTTAATTAAATAAAAGTTACTTAAACTTGGTAAATAATAGGAAGACAATTATTAAAACAAATAATTAGCATAAATAAGAAAGATCTTACAGTATTGAAGCAGAAGGTTAAGGCAGAATAATATCAATGAGATTTCCCTCGAGCTTGCACCCATATGTTTGTATACTCAAAGATAAGTGATTTGTGTAATATAAATTTAAGAAAGTGGGTTATGGTCCAACACGACTTCCGCACACTTATTGGTTTTCTCTCTTATTCTTTTGCATATCTCACAATGAATCATATGGAATCACAGTTTTCCTTTCAACTCCTTGTTAAAACATTACCTTGACTAGTGACAGGGTTCTTACGGCTTTCTCTAATAAGCTTAAAAAGCCAATATTTGGCAATACAACAAAAAAATACTTGCACTAACCCTCAAGGTTTTCACCGTTGGAGTATAAGTAATATAAGAGTTTTTGAGAAAATAATAAGGATAAAAAAGGCAGTGTCTTAAAACAACTTCATTTTATAAACACATCACACTAATATCTCTTATATAAGAGTATACATACATATTTCGGCTACACTCTTGATACTTTCTCTAAGGAAATTAGAACTCCATAGAGATTACTTTATTACACACTTCACTTCAAAGAAAGAAACTAAAATTGCTACAAGATTTGAAAAACAAGGTAGAGAGATAAATTTTTTATTTAAGACTCGATGCCTTCCTTCTGAGAATTAGTCTTCAATTTATAGACTTGAAAGCTTCATAGCTGTCCTTCATTATTGTTGCTTTAACTGTGTAAGATATTGGGTATCTTACTGTGGCCTAAAGTTTTCTTGTCGTAATATGAAAAATAATTGAGGTAAACCCACAGTTTTTTTTATCAACGTGGTTTTTGAAAAAGTAGTGATAAATGGGTTTTTCACTTTTCCATATGTGACTCAAACCACTCTTCCGGATATTCCGATGGGTCAAGAGAGATTGGTGAGATGTCGCCTTCAGTGCAACAGCACTCGCACTTATGATTAGGATAACGCCAAAACTATTTGCACAGTTCTTCTTTTGTTTTTTGTGTTCCACTAGCTTGTCTTTCAAAAATATGATCACACCATGTGTCGAGATAGTGCCAATCTTCTTGTTTAGTGGATGCAACAGCATTACTGTAAATCATGTGATCTTGTGACTCGTAAACCCAAATATTTTGTTTTTCTTCAATAACATTTTGGATATGTTCGAACTGCTCCTTATATCCTTTAGCTCTACAGAAAGCTATCATTTTGATTATATCTTCTGGTAACGTTTCATGGACTTCACTCTTCTCAGACTGGAATTGCTTAGAAGTAGTAGTCATTCTTATAACATGGCTTGCTAGAAGCAACCTGTCTTCTTCATATTCTCATTCAGGACAAGCAGAGAAAAATCTAATATAAATATTTTTGTGTTTAAGAACTTGACAATATCTTTCAATAGCTCGGACAACATCCTTTGGCAGCATAGAAATTTCTTTTAATGATTCAGACGGGTAAATACAAATTATATTTCCCATTTCAAAAAGAGTGCAAACCCAATAAGCTGGGGCTCCTAGATATAGATTAACTTTGTTATAAGTTCCATACGTTAGAGTTTTCATCCATGCTCCTATATTGGTGAACCAGCAGCAGGCAAGATTGAACAATACGTATACCAAAATAAAATCATCTTTATTTTTTATATCCATAACACCAAGGGTGTTGCAGGCTTTGATAATATTTGAGCGATTTAGCTCGGGTATAGAGATACTATCCTTTGTATAAATTTTCTCTGGTGAGAGAGACAAAGTAGTATTCTCCTT